TTTTTTCCGTTGAGCAAGAAACCATAAAAGCCTTTTATTAGATTTTGTGAACAGAAACGCATACAATCTTTAAACATGAACAGGAACACATACAACCCTTTAAAGGTGAACAGAAACACATACAACCTTTAAACATGAACAGAAATGCATACACTACAACATTTAAACATGAACAGACACATATACAATCTTTAAACATAAACGTATACCACCTTTAAACATGAAAATAAGAACATACAACATTCATACATGAATATAAATTCATACAGCCTTTAAACATGAACAGAAACGCATACAATAATTAAAACTGAACACAAACGCATAAAATCTTTAAACATGAAAATAAGAACACACAACCTTCAAACATGAAAAGAAACACATACACTACAACATTTAAACATGAACAGACACATATACAACCTTTAAACATAAACGTATACCACCTTTAAACATGAAAATAAGAACTTACAACCTTCAAACATGAAAAGAAACACATAAAACTTTAAATGTGAACAGTAACGCATACAACTTTTAAACATGAACAGCCACAAAATCATGTGTGCTTATCACGAACCTGTGAGCTGTTAATCATAAGTGTACCCGTGGTGGGCAGAGCACAGATAGCCCATTGTGTAGCTTTGTGCATAAATTCAAACAAACAAACAAAGTCCTAAGTGTTAGTGAAATAGTTACAATTAATATTAATATTGTGAACGTTATGGTGATACCAGTTGTTGCTTTTCTGAAAGTTTTAGTGCAAAGCTACACGATGTCTACCTATACTTAGCTGTCTCTAATTTTGAACAGATAAAATAAAGTGAAGGCAACTAATCAACGGAATTCTTGTATTACTCTTGTCTGTTTCTTCTGTAACAAAAATTACAGGACACGTTTTTACAGCAACGGGATGTGACGTATAAACTCCCGGGATCTCAGAACCGAACATGAGAGTCATAGGCCACGTTAGGTAATAATAAATATTGGTAATAAATTGGTGATTTACATCTAACTGCACCTAAAGAATCCTTTCTGAACCTAATTTAGAAATTATGTTGCACTGTATTAGTCATGAGCTGGTGTGCATGTAAAGTTTGATAACAGTATTTACAGAGGTTCGCCAGTTACAAGTAAACACACACACACACATACTGTCGAAAGCACTCTATCACCCAAAATTCACACTAAGGTTTAACTGTCACTCTTATAACGCACCCGCAACTTAAAATGCGTGGATTATTGTGTGGTATCGTACGGATATTAGCTATATTTATAGCTAAAGATATTTAGTTTATATGTTAACGTGAACGCTGCTTCCTTAAGAAGCCAGAATTTTGCTTCTGTCCTTTTGATTTTGTTGTTTTTTTGTTTTCAATCGGGTCCGTGTGTGTGTGTATCTGTCCGTGTTTCTGCGCACATATATCGAAAACTGATACGTCGACGTTCACTAAAAGTTTGCACAAGATGTGAGGTCAGTATGGGACAGTACTCTCCAACTTAGGTCTGGATTCAAGTTCAGATCTGGATTTTGGATTACTTTGAAACATCTTTTATAATGAGGAGATAGAGCATGTTCGCGGTTTTGGGGTTAATAACTCTGATTGGATTTGTACCAAATTTCATGGACACATTAAGGTTGAGACTCCAAATAATACTACAAAAAATGATCAGGATCGTTGATCATTTTGGATCTGAGAAGGATTTTCTGAGTTTTCGAAAGTGAAATTTGGCGTTATCCAATATAAATGCATGCAATCTCGAAAAGGAGCGCCGGGGCGAGGTTATGTAATCTGTCTGATTGCTTTTGTTTGTTTTTAATGAATTGTTGGTTTGGTCACGGCTAGAAATTGGACAGTCACACGTATCTAATTGTGTAGCTTTGTGCTAAATGAAGCAAGTAACTGTCATCTTTTACTTACATAGACAAAAAAAGAGAGAAGAAGAAAAAATGTAACTTTATTGTAAATTAGGAACTTATGTATACATTGATGTTTTACCATCGTGTATACATTGATGTTCTACCATTTTGTGTAAACTGATGTTCTACCATTGTGTATACATTGCTATTTTACCATTCTGTATACATTGATATATTACCATCGAGTATACACTGATGTTCTACCATTCTGTATATATTGATGTTTTACCATTGTGTATACATTGATGTTTTACCATTGTGTATACACTGATGTTCTACCATTCTGTATATATTAATGTTTTACCATTGTGTGTACACGTTGCTGTTTTATCATTGTGTATACATTGATGTTTTACCATTCTGTATACATTGATGTTTTACCATTGTGTATACATTGATGTTTTACCAATGTGTACACGTTGCTGTTTTATCATTGTGTATACAGTGATGTTTTATAATTGTGTATACATTAATGTTTTACCATTCTGTATACATTGATGTTTTACCATTGTGTATACATTGATGTTTTACCAATGTGTACACGTTGCTGTTTTATCATTGTGTATACATTGATGCTCTACCATTCTGTATATATTAATGTTTTACCATTGTGTATACACTGATGTTTTACCATTCTGTATATATTAATGTTTTACCATTGTGTATACACTGATGCTTTACCAATGTGTACACGTTGCTGTTTTATCATTGTGTATACATTGATGCTCTACCATTGTGTATACACTGACCAAAACATTAATGTATACACAATTATAAAACATCACTGTATACACAATGGTAAAATAGCAATGTATACAGAATAGTAAACCATCAATGTACATGAAATGGTAAAACATTAATGTATACACAATGGTAAAACTACAGAATAGTAAACCATCAATGTACATAAAATGGTAAAACATTAATGTATACACAATGGTAAAACATCAATGTATACACATTGGTAAAACGTTAATGTATACAGAATGGTAGAACATCAATGTATACACAATGGTAGAACATCAGTGTATACACAATGGTAGAGCATCAATATATACACAATGATAAAACATCAATGTATACAGAATGGTAAAACATCAATGTATACACAATGGTAAAACATCAATGTATACATAATGGTTACATTGCTATTTTACCATTGAGTATACATTGCTATTTTACCATTGAGTATACATTAATGTTTTATCATTGTGTATACATTGAGGTTTTACCATTGTGTATACATTAATGTTTTACCATTTTATGTACATTGCTATTTTACCATTCTGTATACATTGCTATTTTACCATTGTGTATACATTGAGGTTTTATCATTGAGTATACATTAATGTTTTATAATTGTGTATACATTAATGTTTTATCATTGTGTATACATTGAGGTTTTACTATTCAGTATGCTGTGAGTCATATCAAGTTTAATTAAAACAGTCATTAATTTATTCGAATACCTATGACAGCCACAAAATGATAACCTTGTTATAAATTAAACAAAGATGGTTTAATTGCTGAATAACTATAAAAATAATGAAATTTCAAACTTTCCATGAAATATAAAAACAGTACACTATCAACGATAATCAAACTATAGAGTTGGGATCAATAGCAAAGTTCTTGAAAATTATGAGCTAATCTTCATGTTTTATTCAATATTTTTTATAAATATTATCAATTTTTAATCATAATATGTCCCTATATTTTAAACAGTCAAACTACATTTGGGATTTTCTAAAAATTATTCATAAATACTTATAAATTATGATGTGTTGTTCAAGTTACATTTCCGTAAAAACTATATCTTTACCAATATGACACTGTATTTTTTACTGCAATGGAATTCTAAACTATAACAACCCTATATAAATAACATTAACAAATCACTCTTTTTAGGCTAAAGGATTTCTTCAAAGTTTGCACTACAACTTTATAAACTACCAAAAATATCGTAAATAATAACGTTATTTGATGTTACATATTACATCTTGTAGCTAGCTTCTTGTGTTTGGTATAGTGGATAGTTAACTACGATTAGTTTTATATATTAATTTTTGGCTGTTAATTTCTTGTTATCATAATTAACACTGCCATATTATAATGGTCGATTCAGGCATATTTGATCTTTTATTGATTCTTTTGTATATTGAGCTGCTGTTACTGTAGGGGTGGCTCAATGAGTTTTCTTTGATGAAGAGACGTGCTAGGGGAAACAAGTTTACAATTTCCAAAGACTCTTACTTCTAGGTGATAGTTCAAGACAACTAGTGTTAGTGTGTTCCCTAAGTATGGTACACTATATTGTATACTTATTGTTGCTTTCATTACCAGTACGAGTTAGTATATTGAATGTGATTACTTGTTATTTTGATGTATTGTTTGCTGTTGTACTTTTATTGTAAAGTTTGTTTTGCATTGCTAGATGAAAAAATATATATATAGAACTAACATAAATTTCTTAAGGTTGCCGAACCTCATCAGATATTAATTGGGATTATGGCCGAGAATATCTTTAATAGCGAAGGTACCTAATTGATGAAACAATAACTTCTAATCTTCATATGTAGAACCGTACAATGAGGTATGTATAATTAGCTATATTGATGGCGAAGAAAATTTTCAGTTTCATTCTAAGTAAATAGTTTATTCCTATCCAAAGATATCATTACTAAATTTGGTTTATGAACGCTCCAAAATAATATTTAATCTAGTTTAACCTAGTAGGTTCTCCAAAATATTTTCTGTTATCCTTCACAAGTAGACTCCTAGTTTATAACACACTTATTTTTACCTTAAGAGCACTTCGGTGGTAATTAATTTATATACTTTTTTAAAATTTGGTCATATAGTCATAAGCAAAGAGAGTTAAGTTCAAATTCAGATGACAATACTTAGTGTAAAAACTGATGCTACTAGAGCCCCCGATTTAATATTACAGGAAGTCTTGCCCCTATTGAATTTGAGATGTTAACACTTGGTATTGACAATCACGTTAGCCATATACGATAGCATATTTCATATAAAGAATATGTAATATATGACACAAATATCGATATTTTTTATATTTTCTCCAATTCCGATGACTTTCTCTACTTCCAAATGTCTGAGTTATATCAAGCGGTCATCTTCTTTATTCAGAGCATATCTACAATTTTGAACTTACACCCTTAGTAACTAACAAAAAACGGCTCCTCGCGTATACCCTGTTCCTCAGCGCGTTCCTCAGCATAACGAGAACGATTGCCAAGTTTCAGGATGATATAGAAGGAAATAAAAAGAGGAGGCAGCATCCCAACAATGAACCCTGTCACGTTGAATTTATTAGGTTTAGTCTTTTCCTCTGTATTCCTGACTGTTACGTTAGAAGTAACACCGTTGACATCTGAAAAAAAACAACAAAAGTACACGTTAAGAACAAAGCAATCTTCAATTTAGTTTTAATATTTTTTTTGAAATATTGTACCAGGGTATGGCTTAGACAGGTAAAACGAAGGTCCTTAAATGGACAAGCGTTTCTTGTCCAAATCAATATTGTAATTATATTTACCTTTAACAATAACAAATCAAACGAACATACTGACTCGGATTGTAGAAATGTTTCGGTAAACACTGGAGGGATGGTCGATAGCAAAAAAGGGGAGATATTTGAAATTCATATAGTGGGGGACATAAATTATTTCTTTTTGTAGAATCCATTTTGTAGAGACATACAAACCCTTTTATCAAGCATAATGGGGAAGAAAGGATTTTTATTTCTTCGATATCTATTACAAAAAAGTAGCTAGCTTTATTTGCTAATTAATTGCAGAGAGAGAGAGACATGGAAGGAAGCATTCTTGACACCAGTATTAGTATTTTTTGAAGACCCATAACTCTGTTTCAATATATATATATATATATATATATATATATATATA